TGGTGGTTCGAGTTGTACCACCAGTGGATGCCCGAGACCTTGATCGAGAGCGTCGTCGACGCGCCATAGACGGCGCGGCCGGCCTTGGAAAGCGCGCGGCCGTGGTCCAAGAGCGACGAGGAGTACCAGTCGAGGAAGAACTTGCCGTACGCACTCGCATAGTTGTCAAAACCGTTGTCCAAGAAGAAAGGGCAGTCACCCGAGACACCAGGAAGGCAGTTGAAGTTGCCGGCGTTGGCCGGACCGGACGTAAGGCCCCACGACGGGTTATTGGTAGCATTTGCGCGGGCCGCAATGCTCTTGGCCGCGAACGCGTCGTAGCTCGTAAACTCGCCAATGCCGCAGTAGCTCCAACGACCGCCTTGCAGCTGGTACGACGGGTACCGGAGCTCGCCCGCGGGCCCGGCGCCGATCTGGACTTCAACCACCGTGTTGGGGACAGCGTCCATGACCTTGGTCTTGAAAGCCGTCATAAATTCACGGTACATGTCGATGGGCGTCCGGCCAAACTTGTCGAGTGGCGTCGCGTCCGCCCAGAGCGAGATGTACTCGGGGTCACTCAAGCCCGACCGCGTCGTGTACCACACGTCGTTGCGCGTGAACCACGAGCTCGGAATCGGGATGTTGCACGCGTCACCGACGTTGCCGCCGCACGAGTGAAACGAGAGCACCATTTGAATCGTGAGCCCGTGCTTGGCCGCGAGTTGCGCCATGTCGAGGTACGCGGCAAAGTTGTATTGGCGCGGCCCCGCCTTCTCGACGAGGCCCCACCAGCAGTCGGCCATGATGCCGGTCGCCCCGTTGGCCTTGAGCTTGCCGAACTGCGTGTCGAGCTTGGTGCGGTCCTTGAGTTGGGTGTTGCCCGCGCCGTCCAAGACGACCGTGTCGAGGGCGAGCATGACGTTGACGGGCACAACCGCCTCGGCGATCGTGGCCGCGAGCGCGGCGAGGAAGAGCACCGTGCGGCGAAGCATCTTGTGTTGGTGCTTGACAGCAAAATGGAAAATGAAAACCACAACCGGCGTGGCTGGCCATGCACAGAGTCACCCATTGGTTTCGCAACTTCAACAGGTGGCTCAGCCGTACGTTTACGAGCGTGGGGCTTCGGGGGCAATCGCGTGTTCGTGGGTGGTTCTCAGAGGATGTTTGACGACGCAGCGATCGATGTGCAAAGCCGATAAATCCTGGTTCGTAAAAGCGCAAAGCTTGGCGGTTTGTATGCAAAGCACTTGCGCGTGGCCAAGGTTGCGTGCATGAACCGTGGTACGTTGTACTTCAAGTTGAACGCCATCTGCAGCCATGGCAGGATATTTCGAAGTGCGCCCGTCCGTCGTCGCATTGGCTTCGAGAAGGTGCATGTATTCAATACTGGTATTAACAAGAGCTCGTGTTGTTGAAGTATTTGTGGGTAGTATCAGCCTCGGAGAGCACTCGCTCAGAAGTCGAGTTCTTATTGTGTTTCGTGAACCTGCGGTGTCCTCTGCACCGTGACAGTTGCCAGGCCGCAAGAAGGGTGTAATCCTGTCGCATGATTGGTGGAGAGACGGTACAACATCGCTGATTGGTCGATGCAACGTCAATCCAGTACAGGATATATCCGCGCATACAAAATCCAGGTTGATGCGTAGTTGGCTGCGGGACATGTACCAATGACATCCTGGCGCAGAATCTGGCGCTGTACAGACAAGACACCTACTCCTACAGTGTAGGACAAGACAAGGACTAGATGTACCCGGTTTAAACTCATTGCGTCAAACCCATATAAAACGTGACCCTTTGACGGTCTTTCAGTACCCTAGGCTTTCGCAGTTACGCTATCCGGTACTAGTGATCTGAGTGTGGAATGTCGTAGAGATGTTATTGAAAAGGTCATGATGCATGCTTGACCTCGGCCGATCCATACATGTATTGGCTCCAAAGCTTCGTCCCCGCGAGCTTCTCGCCAGGAGCGGCGAGTTGTTCCCATCGTACTAGTACCAGTCTGACCATTACATGCTTGTTCACAATTCAATGACGCAATGAGTGGCTAAAGTCAATTATTCAGTGTTATCTCACGCATGTCAAATACGACCTCCGCTTTTTCTTCGCTCCATATAAGGTCATGTTCAAATCTTCGGCAATAAATTGCTCTTTTCTGGGGCGAGCGTTGCTTCACCTAGTTCACGTTCTCATCATTACAAATACTTCAATGCGTAGAGATGACCAATTCTTTCCTCTTCTTTCGCTTACCGGGCCGTGGCTACGCAGGCGCGGAGGCTCGTCTTGCTCTTCTGTACTCGCCCGGGGGCGCTTGTGGCCGCGAGTGAAGCCCATGACTACACGCTTCGTAAGGCCTTACAGGCTTCGCTCTCGGCGACAAAGCTGCGCAGTTTCTTGAGGTTATCGAGAGACCCCAATCACTAAGGTGGCGTCAGTGACTGAAGGTCGCGGTGCAGGTCAATCGGCAGCGTGAGCCTGGTGCGGCCTCAAAACGGGGTGCCTCGGGCGGGACAAAGTAACGAGCGGCGGCATGCCACAGTTGTATAGAAGGACCGGGAGCACGGAGCAATTGTAGTACACGGTTGTCTTCCAAGATGAGGCCCTAGCGCATCCAGATCTTTCACATGTTCAACCATATCAGCACTTACTCCAGCTATTGAATCCTCTAAGATCTCACGTTGTGGGTACAAGGTGCCCTTTCATTTATGCTTCCGTCATCAGCGCTCGATGCCGTTTGTTCAATGAACATCGCCACACGCGATACATTGATATTCTTCTCCCTTTTACACCAATCAGAATACTATCATTCGGACAAAGTGCACACCCTTTTTAATCAATCACAGCGTTTTATGGCTATGGAGGGAGCACGCTCAGGAGAACCAGCAACCTGCCAGCAGCATGGGTTTGGGCTTTGGACTACAACAAGAATCGCCTGCGTGTAAAACTCTTTTAGTCTCAGCGATGAATTCGTCTTCTTGATTCGAATCGAGAAACCGATGGTACGCAACAAGCGCAGGCACCCCCATCACGTACCGCCATAATGCCTTCTGGTCAAGCGCGTTATATCGCAAGAGAAAGGCCCATTCACAGAAAGGCCATCATCACAGCATACATAGACGAGCATCTATGCCAACTAAATACAGGAATCTACCCCCGCGATAGACCACGGGCTGCGAACGTCATCGGGCAACATGTGATTGTTCACTCTTCGAGCACCTTGGCCTTTCCTCAAGATTTTGGTGCTCGATTGCATGACGTCACGAACACGTGGGCACTTTGCACTGGGCTAGGCCACGTACAATATATTGTGTGGCTTTGATAACCGCATTACAAAGGCTTGTGTATTCGTGCGAGGAGGCGCTGTACATACAATACCGAATGAAAAATTCAATACAAGCAAACCCAATACGTCGTCGTCGATTGGGTTGTTGCAAATGGCACTTGCACCGATCGATTCGAAACCACAGTTGAACGCTTGCTTGTGCAGTTTTTCCGAGTGGCCAACGACCAGAAAAAAGGTGATTGCAAACATCGTCTGCGCCAATGTGACTCTAAATGTAGTGTTACGTTCGATCACGCTACAAACATGTGGCTGCCGAAGACAGCTCGTATCGAGCGAAGATCGAGCGATGGTGTGACCTCGGTTTTGCCCTTGAAATTGTCACTTTAACACCAGACAAACCATTTCTTAGAGCTTATTGCGTAGCTACAGCACAGCGACGCGATGCATGACGCCTCGAGCGTCCTCTGATTTGTCTGGTGTAATGCGCGTTCTTTTTTGTGGCAGCGTCGGACGTTGACTGGCACAGCTACGGTCCATTATCCGGAAGATACTCGAACGCAGGTATGTGATTGGTGGTTTTAGCTTTATCCGGATATCGCGACGTGGTTGCGCCAGATCAGATCGCGGCGTCGTCAATCGGCCGAGACCAGTCGAGAGATTATCGTGCATGTTGATGCATCCCAACGCTGCCTTGAGCGCGCCGAACCTCTGGTACGTCCAGCAGCAAAAGGCCCAGCGCCCCGAGGTCGTCCTCGACGTCTCGCTCGGGCAGTGGCATGCATGGAGCATCTCGCAAGCCCACTGGGTCCACGACGCCCACCGGTCGGCGTGTCACGGCTGTGGGCACAGCTTTACCTTCTTTCGCCGCAAGCAACACTGCCGCATGGTACGAAGAAGCGGTCTCGAGCATGGTAGAGCATGGACCGTTGTGATAGTGTGGCGAGATCATCTGCCGGCAGTGCGCCCGGCGTGTGTGCTTGGTGACGCACGATACCAAGCGCAAGCACAAGCCGCAGCAACGACACATCAAGGTGTGCCCACCGTGCTACGCGTCGACGCAAACTACACGCGTCTCCAAGCTGCCGTCGCCACCAGCATCGCCGACGCCTGGCACGTTCTTTGCCACAACGCCAACGATTCCGCTACTGGAAGAGAAGTCGCTGGCGTCGTCGGCGTCGTTCACAGCCTCAACATGTCCGTCATCGCCGTACTGCTCGCTCAAAGAGGATGCGCCGCCCAGCATCGAGGAACTTTGGATGCACTCGAATGAGCAAGCGCGGCTCCAAGCGCTATGGCAGCTCCACATTCTCGACTCGCCGCGGGAGGCAACCTACGACACGATCTGCAGCCTCTTGAGCGACCTCACCAACTGTCCGATCGCGTACATTAGCTTTATGGACGCGCACCGGCAGTGGTTCAAGGCCAGCGTCGGTCTCTTCGTCCCCGAGGTGCCGCGCGAGGTTTCGCTCTGCGCCTCGACGCTGCACGCGCCGCGGCCGATCGTCGTGCCCGACACGCTTCGCGACTCGCGCTTTGCCAAAAACCCGCTCGTCGCGTCGGCGACCGGCATTCGCTTCTACGCCGGCGCGCCGATCGTGCTTGGGTCGTCCGGCGTCGCGATCGGCACCCTCGCCGTGCTCGACACGGTCGCGAGCAAGCGCAGTGCGACGCTTCATGACGACGTCGTGCACCACCTCAACCGACTCGCACGCCTCGTCGCTTCGTACGTCGAGCGTCCGCAGCCGTTGACACCGCAGGTCGTGCTGCAGCAACTACTCCGGCAGAGCATGGAGACCAAGGAATTGCTCTCGGGTCGCGGCGGCACATCTTGGATCTCGGGCAAACCGTCGACCCACCGGTCGTGGTCCAGCATCTCGGAAGACACCGAGCAGTGAGAACGGGAATATCTCGTCGCTTGTTATTTAACATGTTGAAAATGTGTGTTGTGTTTTGCACACTGCGGTTGATCAAACGACAAGGAAAGGACTCGTGAAGCATGGGACGTCGATGGACGCGATCATACATTATCTATCTATCTATCTATCTATCTATCTATCTATCTATCTATCTATCTATCTATCTATCTATCTATCTATCTATCTATCTATCTATCTATCTATCGGTCTGCCAACGTGAAGGCCGCCGACGATCAAGCGTGACATCCATTTTTGGAGGGTATTTCAGACTTTGAAGACCTACCCCCATAGCATACATTATTTAATATGAAGCAAAACTTCGACCCGTGACACTCGATATGGAGCCATCCGATTAAGTGCGACTGGCGGATCGCGATGTTTTGCGCCCAAGCAGCCCACGCGATCAGACGTCGGTGCAGGACGATGACGAAGAGCCGCAGCGCAAGTAGCTTGACGCCCTGGAAGCAGCGCCTCCATGAGGCGATTGAGGCCAACCGGCACATTCCCGGCACGCACTACCTGCAGATGGCGACAGTGGCCCAAGACGGCGCACCCCAATGCCGGACGGTTGTTTTCCGTGGCTTTGAAGGCGAGACGGGCTTGACCATGATCACAGATGCGCGCAGCGCCAAGGTCGCCCAGCTGACGGCCAACCCTGCGTGCGAGGTTGCTTGGTGGCTGCCGCAGAATGGCGAACAGTTCCGCATCGCGGGCGACGTGGAGCTTGTGACGCCCGACGCCGACGCCAAAGGCTTGCGCACGCAGCTGTGGCACAAGCTCCGCGAAAGCATGCGGCAGCAGTTCTTTTGGCCGGAGCCCAACACACCATTTACGGACGCGCCCGTGCCGGTGGTATCATCAGCGACGCCGCCACCCACGTTTCTTGTGCTCGTGCTGTGGCCCAAGCAGGTCAAGTACCTCCGTCTCCACGACAGCTTTGCCCAAGTCGACACGCTCGATGTCGCTACAGATCCCGCGTGGATGTCCCGTCGCATCAACCCCTAAGGCTTCTGCACGTTTATCCTCCTATCCTCCTACACGCTAAATGAGACATAATATTGCGATGGCCATCTCGTTGCTCTACTCGTGTCGTTGGGTCAACCTGCTGCGTGAGATGGCAGCTGCGCTCGTCGCGCGCGAGAGATAACCGCGGAATGCTCCAGCAAACGCCTCGGTAGTGCACTGGGCCGAGTCGAGTCGAGACTCGCCACCAATTCCTAGTTTGTCCAACGAACGACTCAAGTCTCGAACAACAGCCACTGTATATGTTCGTAGCAAAGATAGTCCTTGCGAAACGGTCGCATGCACCGAAGGGACGCGCCGACGGGGCCGCAGCGCTTCGTCTCGTTGCGCGGCGGGAACCAACGCGTGATTTTACTGCCGCGCCGGTCCTCGTCTCGAGCAAGTGCGTCATTTATGCGTCGTATTGCAGGCTCAGGAAGCGCGCGTAGGTATCGCCAAGTCCGAGCCACTGGCCCCCGACTCGCCCCCCGCGACGGTATTCTACCTTTTCCTGTCTGCGCTAACCACTCTCGTCTATGCAGCCGCTCAAGCCACGCTCGACGTCGTACGTTCGGGAGGACCTCGTGCGCACACACTTGAGTCGGCCTAAAATATCGCTCAAGCAACTGCAGCAGTTCCTATTGTGGCTCAACTTGCTCTCGCTCTGGCCGCACAAAGTACGTCGATTCGCTCGTTGCCAGTGGATAGACGAAATATGTAGCTCCATGTCGAGTCGTACCACGACGAGCTGCGCAACGGCGTCTTCCTAAGCCACCTCCTGCACCACTACGTCCCTGACTTCTCCATTGGGAGAATCAACCAACGCGCGCAGTCGCAGCGAACGACCGAGTCGAACGTCGAGCTGCTCTTGCAGTGCCTCAGCCGGTACACTGCCTCGAAGATGGCAGCCTCGCAACGCTGATGGCAGGTTCAATTTAAACGTGCGCAATGTCCCGAGCGCGGCGCAGCTCTGGAGCGGCGACCGCCCAATTACGGCGGCTTTTCTACACGAGATCTTTCACAAGGTCGTGCTGCGGTCGCTGTCACACAAGGTCGTCTGGACATGGTGCCAAGACATTTTAAGCTTGTATCACCAAGCCAGCCCCCACGAGGTGTGGAGCGACAGCCTGCTGTCCGATATCAGCAACAACAACAGTAGCAGCACCAGCGGTCTCTTCGACTACTTTCGGTTCGAGCCCACTCGATGCCGGACGCTTGACGAAACGTAGGTCGGGCTTCCGTCTGTGGTGTGTGCTCCATTATTACGGCGCACGGCGCCGCCACGACGACCGCGAGGATATCTTCCAAGCCAGCACAATGTTCATGACGCCAACGGTACTAGAATACTTGGTTGAATGCGAACGTGTACGAAGAGGCGTAGACACCAACCCAACACCTCGCAAATGCCCAGCGTGTCTGCGGCATTCTGGCAGCGATGCAGATACCGCTGGTCTGGGAACCCGACTGGTTTGTGTCGCACAAGAGCAACGGCTTCATGCAGCTACAGCTGCACTACATCTACCAAGCGTACGTGCACAGTACATAGCATGTCGTGATGGACGCATTAGCCTCCATCATTCGGCGCCAGCGCTGACGAACGACATGACGGAACCCGTGTACCTTGACGTGAGCGCGAATGGCCGTGTGGGTGTGCACGGTAGGTCCTTCTACGAACGCAGAATGGCTAAACGGTAGTGATGTACGTATTACCAGGGCTCCTCTTTGCCGACGGCGAGTGCAAGGAGCCCGAAAACACATGGCGAGCCTCGGCTGCTGGCAGCGACGACGAGGGGTCGATCGACGACCCGCTCTGCCTCGAGGAGACCTTGGTACAGGAAGAGTCGCCGAGCATATTCGAGCAGCAGTGGAGCGGCAACCAGCGCACGGAGATTACGTGGCCGCCAGAGCCGTCCACGCCGGCGCTCGACGAGTACGCGCAAATGAAGGAGCGCATTTCGCTCGAGGAGCTCTCTCGCATGGAGGTGGAAGAAGCCTACGGCGTGGTGCGCTAAGACGACGGAGGCGCGAAACACAGTTATTTGCTTACACAGTATTACTAAAGCTTCTATACCGTGCGTCCTTACTTGGTCGCCTCGGGCTGGTTGCGGACCTTGGCCCACGCACGCTTGATCATCGGCGTAGTCGCCAAACAGAACGGGAACCGCACCGTCTCGAGGATCTCGTTGAGAACGACGGCGATCGCAATGTTGCCGTATTCGGGGTTGAGGCTGTCCAGGTCAATGTACGAGTCAAGGCCCAGGCCGCGGATGAGGTCGACGGCGTCGCTGCCGCCAAACCAGCCGCGCGAGAGGCCATAGTAGATCGTAAAGCCCGTCGCGCCGTAGAGCGTCGTCCACCACACGAGGAACGGAAGGCCGTTGGCCTGGATCACAGCCATGAACTTGCCGGGCTTGTTCTCGAGCTTCTTCTGCAGCTCGGCGATTTCGTCCTTGAGCTTCTTGTTCTCGACCTCAAGCTCCGTCTCGCGCTGCGTCGAGAAGAAGTGCATGGTCGTCGAGGCCGGCGAGAAGGCCGTGGGCGTGAAGACGCGCGTGGAGACAGAGCCGCGGACGGCCATGCGGGCGCCGGCCCGAGCCGAGGACGCACGCAGAAGGGACAGCATCAGACACGTAGACACAGCCGAAGCACGATGATCAACGATGGCCCATCGCTGGGAACGGGCCAATCAAATGTGGCCTTTTACAGCCAATCACAAGGGCTTGGCTATTTCATTTTAGCCAATCAAGAAAATCTTTTTGCACCAATGGTATGTGTCGAGTGGATGCTATTTTGACCAATCCAAAGGCAGTAAAAAGCTAGCAATCGGATTGGTCGAGACGGCGCAAACCCGATCTTCGCCAGCTTCGCCAGAGGAAGGGGAATGTCGACGACGAGCTTCTTTCACGCAGTTGCGCGAACGTTGCATGCGACGTAGGACAGAGTGGACGCAGATGCGCGTCTCTACGATAGGCTGTGCGGGCGCAGAATCAAGTGGCTTGATTTCTGGGGCAGGATCAGTTTGGAGAAGCCACTTGGGTGCTCGGGGCGCGGGGCCCGTCAATCGAATGGCGCACGAGAAGCCACCGGCGCGCAAACTTCGTCGCACGCTTTCCGTGGCGAAAGAAACGCAGGCCATCTGCAGCCCACACTCAGAAAGGCCAAGAATGGAGTGCACCGAACCATACTCGTGCAAGCTTCACCTTGATTTTCGAGAGAGACACATGTTGAAGTTACGGCAGGTTCAAGTAGAAACGCAAGGCCAACAAAGAGGCTGCGTTCAACGATTGCAACGCAACGGAAATGATCGTGGTGTGGTGTCTGTCCTTGTTCATTTGCACCCAATGCAGAGTGTCGTCTACTCATTATCTTGAGTAAAACAGCAGCCGTCAACAACCGCCAACGAACAAGGCAGCCACCTGATGGGTCGATAGCACTTGAAGATCATCCACCGGCGCCCATCAACGCCACCCGTCCACGTGATCGGCAGTTTTTAATTTCAGTACTGGAATTATGACGGCTAAATCAACGGGCCGCGCCGTGTCACGACCGGCTGGGCATCACGTGTTGGTAGAAGAATACATTGCTGTTCGTGTAGCAACCAGCGTTTCAAGCTCCACGACGGCGTCACATCGTACTTGGGAGGAAATCGTGGTCGCTTCAAGCAGTTGGCACGTCTCGGAAGCCAACCAACGCAAACAATAGGCGGTGCTTGCGTAAATACCTTGGCCTTTGTATGTAGGTCGCCCACCCGCCGCGCTCGCCCAGGTCGCACCGGATTTTCGTTGAAGAATCCAGTGGCACCCATGAGTAGTGTCGACGGTACACGGGCACGAACAATGCATACAAATAGCAAGTATACAGATGCAAACGCGATCAAACCAGCTGGGCAAGTTAATTCTTGGGTGCGCATACAAACATCAAGATGATTAATTCCAATGGCCTTGTGACGGAGACAGTACCAGGGTGGCACGTTGAGGTTCAAGCAAGCTGTTGAAAAAGCGCCATTACAGATCGACGGAGCGCGAGCAGCAGAACCAGCTTGGAACGAACCGATTCAATCGCCGCCGCTCATTTCATTCTTACATTTGCCTGCTTCAACGCACTCCTCCAGCAACACAAGGATGGCTTCGCACCTCGAAGATCCCAAGGAATCCGAATACAACGCCGTGGCAGTCACGCCCAAGGACGACGACGACGCCGCCAAGGTGTCCAAGCACGTTGAAGGCTGCTCGACGGCCTTCCTCTTCCTCCTCTGCTGCCCCAAGATGGCGCTGAACGTCGCCTGGGCGGCGCAGTGGGCGGCCATCGGCCCGCTTCTCAACATCCTCATCTCGTCGTCGTGGGTCCAGATCGTCCAGCTCGTCGGTCCCATCTCTGGTCTTCTCATCGCGCCCTCGATCGGTGTCCTCAGTGACAACTGCTCGTCCAAGTTTGGTCGCCGTCGCCCGTTCCTCTTCTGGGGTTCGCTCATGTCGTGCCTCTGCTGGGCCGTCATGATGTTCTGCACCGACATTGGCGAGGCGCTTGGCGACACCCCTGCCAAGGAACTCGACACGCTTCCGGCTGACCAAGTCTCGCGCAAGTGGACGACCGTCTTTGTCATCCTCACTTACATCTGGATGGACATCACGCTCAACCTGACGCAGACGCCGCTCAACCTCCTCATCGCCGATTTCGCCGGTGACCGCCAGGTCACGGCCTCGTCGCTCGGTAACGCCTACTCGATCGCTGGTTCGTTCGTCGTCTCGGGCTACATCATGGCGTTCGGCCCCGCCCACCAGACGGTCAAGCCGTTCATGGGTCTCCTCATCGCCGTCATGGTCATCACGTCGAGCGCGGTGCTTTGGTTCGTCAAGGAGAAGGTCTTTGTGCCGCTCAAGGAAGTCTCCAAGACCGAAGAGATCAAGAACGCGTTCGCGTCGGTCTGGACCGGTCTCCGCCTCCTCCCCAAGACGCTCGCCATCTACTGTGTCATCATCGTCTTCGTCCAGTACGGTTTCACGGCGTACAACGGCGCCAAGGGCCAGTTCTTCGGCTTCGTCGTCAAGGGCGGTACCTCGGAGGGCGCTGACAAGTGCGGCCAGAACGGCAACCCCGCGTGCTCGGCCCAGCAAAACGCCTACAACGACGGTGTCCAGCTTGCCGGTGGCTCCACCGATACGATCTACAACTGCGTCTCGCTCCTCTTCCTCGCGGTCCTCCCGTCCCTCGTGCGCAAGTTTGGTGTCAAGAAGGTCCTTACGGTGGCCATCATCCCGCAGATCTTCCTCATCGCCCTCGCGTACTGCAAGGTCGTCGCCATCGACATGATCATTGTCATCGCCACCGCCTTCACTCAGAACACGATCCAGTCGCTCTTCATGGCCTGCATCATCCACGTCATTGGCAGCGAAGACAACTCGGGTCTCGGTCTCTTTGCCGGTGCGCTTAACTCGGCCTATTGCGCCGGTCAGTTCCTCAACTTTATCTTCTCGTCGATCCTCGTCCAGTCCTCGATGGGCTACGCGCTTCCCGTGCTTGTCGGCGGTATCCTCTCCACATTCGGTTTCCTCGTCTCGCTCTTCTTCTTCAAGATCGAACTCTACTCGACCTAAACCGCTTTGCGCTATCCGCTGTTTTATAATCCCTCAATTCTAGTGTCGTTTTAGTTTTTACATAGCATTGTCCGCTTCCCCTACTAGGGTTCTTTGCTCGCTTCTAGCCAGGGTCCTAGGATACATTAGCCCCTCCAACGATTGCGCGATACCCAACGACGACACCTTGGTGATCTTACAGCCTGACCAAATTGGCACGCAAGTGCGACAGATGCTTGCCAACAGCTGGTCGAAACGTACGGTCAGGAACCGCAGTACAGTTTGCGGTGCTCGTCCAACCCACTTGATCACAAGGATACTAGAGTCATATACGTTGAGGGTAGTGTCATCGTGTTAAAATGAGGTACCGAGGCACCTTGCACAAGACGAACCAAAATGGCGACACGTGTTGCACCAAGTGGCCGCATCACTCTCAATGGCGCGACGCTACCTTCAGAACAGTACAACATTCCTCGCGACTAGAGTCCCGAAGTGGCTGCAATCGGTCGCACAGCGCTACAGACCCAATCAACTATACTATCTACTATAGAGGGCGTGTAGAGGAGAGACAGTTGCCCGTGGGACGCTTTGAACGAGGAAAAGCACAGGCGCTTGCAACGCAAAACCTCTTTGCCAGCGTCGCATCGTCACGTCGTCACTGCAGCCAAGGGTGCAGCCAGGGTGCAGCACAACGCGACTGATTGGTCGCGTTTCTTTATACGACGAGGTGGAAGAAGAAGAGCGATCACGACTGACGATTGGGTTGCTCTCCCCCGAAACCCTTGTCGACCGACCTCAGAAGGGATATGACACAATTTTATTCCCTTGGACGTCAGAGACGACGTGTCACTTGCATGTGTGGAGTCGTCGAGTGCACACTCGTTCTCAGAAGATGCAGATGACAACGGACAGCGAATTCTCGGCGTCGGGGACAGGAGGGTCACGTTATAATGAAGCATTGACTCCAGACCGCTGCTACGTAGCAGCACTCATGAATAATAGCAGGGTTGTTGCCCACGTCGTAGCGTTGAGCAACGGGCGTTCAGTTTGTCCGGACGAAGCTGCCAGCTCAGAATCACCTGGCCATCGAATCCAACGGACTGTATGTGGGCTAGTGGTCATGACAAATGAGGTGATGCGGAAGTGCATCGCTGACAAGAAGAAGGACAAGGAAGAAATGGAAGGCGTACGGCGGCCAACAAGGAAAAGATTGCGGCCAAGAAGAAAGAGTACCGCACTGTGCACGCCGAGACGATTGCAGCCAAAAGAACAAGGTGTACTACGAGAAGAACCACAAGCAAGTGCGTGGGCAGCAGAAGGCCTACATCCAAAAGAACAAGGCAGCCCGCCAGGCCAAGAATACGTCGTGGCGCCTCGCAAATCGAGCTCCCCTCGCGGCGTACAAACGAACTCTGTACGATGCCCTTGCTCTCGAACCAGTGGGTTGCTCATTTGTCCTAGTTGGGCGCGAAAGAAGGCGATTGCGGCCGGCGAGATCCCATCGCCAATGCTTGAGCTTGCAGACTTTGGAGCTCGAAACGAAGCCGTTAGCAGCGTCCTTCCTGCAGCGCCCACGGGCGCCGCGCTCACCCCAGTGCTTATCGACAAAGACGACGACGTTCTCCATGGCGCCACCACCAAGAGGATCACCATGGTTTCGTTTACGATCGAGCGACGTGCGCAAGCGTGGCCCGGAGCCGTGCTACAACGAGTGTGCGCTCTTTTAGCCCAACTCGCTCAGTCGGCGACCAACACGGTACTTTTGGCAGGCACGTACATGTGTACGTTCTGCGGCGACTGGACGTACTACCGTCGCCACGGCAAGCGCACCAACCTCGACGCTCTGGCGGCTTGAGCTTGGATTTTCGATTTTGTGGTGCCGTGTCCGGCTTTGTTGGTAGTTGCGAGCTTCAGGAACCCAGCAAGCTTTTTTACTTCAAACATGATCTTCAATGTAGCAAATTGAAATGGCTTGTTCCTTGAGATGTACTTGATTTTGCAAGTTCTTCGATATGCAAAGACGTGCAACTGGACATTCTGCCCCGCGTCCCGACTTGACCGGGAGAAGACGCTAGGTTGAGATCGTCTCGGTTTACTTGCCACGGTCAATCGTGACGACACCGTTAGGTCGTGCTTGGACAATCCCAAAGGGCCCGGCAGTGGCCGGCAACGTCTTGCTCTGCATGTTGTGCGAGCCGCAAAGTCATGGTCAATGCGGCCTTAGGTCTCGTGTTCGTTGTAGCGGCGATGCGCTGGATACTGCGCTTGTGTGCGGCGGCCCAGTCGGTGAGGTGCTCAAAGTTGAAGAGCATGTTGCGTCCGAAGG